CTGGAATAAGAAGGATCTGGGATAATGAGGAGTAAGCCAGGCACTACGGGGAAGGGCTTGCCAGACAAGGAACAGCAGGTGCAAAGGCACAGAAATTCCTGTTGCAACTCCTTGCCCCATTCCCCTTTCTTTAATGCCTCCCAATACATCCCTCATGTGAAATTTGTATCCCTTAGCGGCTCTGTTGGATGACAAAGTTTGCATTCCTGTCTGCAGGCCTGTTCAGTAATAGCAAGAGGGACATCACACCATACACACATGGTCTATCCTCCCTTAGCCTCAGCCAGTGGGGAGCAAGTCACTTAAGGTCTAGGGTATGCATTTAGGAAGCTGGTCCCATTCATTTCCCCCTTTTCTTTTTTCTTTTGCCTTTCCTTCCTTTGTTTCTTCCTTTCTCCCTCTCTTCCTCCCTCCCTCCCTCCATTCCCTCCTTCCTTCTTCCCTTCCTTCCTTCTTTCTTTCCTCTTTCCCTCCTTCCCTTCTTTCCCCCCTTCTTTCCTTCCTTCTTCCTTCCTTCCTTCCTTCCTTCTTTCCCTCCTTCCCTCCTTCCTTCTTTCCCTCCTTCCCTCCTTCCTTCCTTCCATCTTCCTCCTTTCATGGTACTGGGGCTTAAACCCATGGATGCTCTACCACTGAGCTACAACCTCAGCTTGTTTATTTTATTTATTTATTTTTAACTTGGGGGGATTTTGAGACAGGGTCTCACCTTGTAGCCCAGGCTAGCCTTGAACTCATGGTGCTTCTCCTGCCCTAGCCTCCCAAGGGCTGGGATTACAGATGTATACCCTCATGCCTGGCCTTAGTCCCTTCTAAAAACTATTTTAATTAATTAATTATTTTTGTAGTACTGGAGATTGAGCCCAGGGCCTTCACACAGAGCTACATCCCCAGTCCCTTTTTAGGGACAGAGTCTCACAAAGTTATTTAAGCTGGGTTTGAACTTGCAGTCCTTCAGCCTTAGTCTCCCAGTGTGCTGGGTTCATAGGCATGCAGCACCACACATTTATTTATTTATTTATTTTGTTTTATTTTTTTTTTTTTTGAGACAGGGTTTCACTATGTAGTTCAGGCTGGCCCTGAACTCACTATGTAGCCCAGGCTGGCTTTTTGTCCCCCCCCCCGTTCCAGGAATCGAACTCACAACCTGTGCTTGCCAGGCAGGTGCTGTGCTGCTGAGCTAAATCCCCAGCCCCCCAGGCTGGCTTTGAGCTCACAGAAATCCTCCTGCCTCAGCTTCCCAAGTGTGAGGATTATAGGCGTGTGCCCCCATGCCTGGCCAATCTTAATTTTTATTTTAAGGCAAGGTCTCACTATATTTCCCAGGTTGGCTTTGAATTTAGATCCTTCTGGCTCAGCTTCCCGAGTAGCTGTGATTATAGGCGTGCACCACCCACCTGGCTTTCTCCTTTGTTTCTTGTGTGTCTGTAAATCACTTGTGTTTTCCTTTAAACTCTGGGAGGCCAAGGATGATGCTCTGAGTTTTGGGAGGCTAAGACAGACACAAAGTCCAAAGCACAGAAATACCAGGATGAAGAGGGCTGAGCGTACCACAGAGTTGCTCCCCGCAACAGTACAGGATCAAGACTGACCTGGGGGTTTAGCTGCAGACAGGAGTGCAAACTTTGTCATCCTTCTGAACAGAAGCAGCTGAGGGATATGAATTTCACATGAAGGGTATGTTCCGGGGTGTTAAAGGGGAATGGGGCAAGGAGTTGCGATCGGAATTTCTGATAGGGAATGACTGATACCACATCTGATTTTGGGGAGGTGGGTACCAGGAATCAAACTCAGGACTTTGCGTTTACCAGGTAGGCGCTGCACCACTGAGATATATCCTGGCCCTTGCTAGCACATCTGGATTTTCAGTTAGAATGGAAAAAATTGGAGTTAAGAGGCTACCCAGGCATCCGTGGACATGCGGCCTTCCTAGAGAGAGCTTTGGGGTCTGTAGGCAGCCTGGGAAAAGTGTTGGGTTGGAAGTAGGGAGTTGGCTGGCACGAGCTTATAGAGCTGGGTGGGAGAAGGAAAAAGGATGCAGAATGAATGGCAATGACAACGGGGCAGAAAGAGTGATGTGGAAGGAGTCCTGAGGGGCCCAGGTCCAGGTACCCCTGATTCCCATAGGGAGGTGCAGTCATTGGTTTCCTGGTTCTCCCTCTTTCCCTGTTGCCGCAGGACCTCAGGCACCAGCTCCCCCCAAACTCAGTAGCTGGTGGGGTGGGGGGACTGCACAGCCTCGGGGGCGGCAGCTGGTGAGTGGGGAGGAATCTGTGTGCTCAGCAAACAGCAGCCTCAGTGCCCAGTGGCTGCCTCCTCCCTCATCAATCAGCCCCAGCCAAATGTCCTTGCATTCCCACCACCCCAAGGGGACTGGGGCTGGGCCAGGGTCCCCAGGGGAGTGAGATGGGGTGGGTGGGGGTGGCGCTTGGCTTCCTGTCCATTGGCCTCTGTTCTCTTCTCTCAGGAGGCTCCGTTCCTCATGTCATGGAATGATTCTGTCCTGGGCCCTGCCATCGAGGGGGCATCATCTACAAATCACCTGTGGGGGGCCACTTGGGGAAGTGGGGGAGAGGGATGAGTCAGGGCTGCAGAGGAATCCACTCTGGTTCTCACGGGACTGGCCCAGAGCACAGCCAGCAGGGAGGCTGCTGGCACAGAGTCCCTGTCCTGTCCCCCCCAGCTGGCCTCTTCGTCCTGATGGATGCTCTGGACAAAACTGAGACCCTGACACCCTGCATATCCTCTCTCTTCCCACCTTCTCCCAGCCCCCTGCCCTCACACCATGCTTCCCACCAAGATCTAGAGGTCTGACACCCCAGATCACCCCAAATCTGCTGTTCCCTATTGGAGACGGAGGTCTGTAGACCTTACCCTCTGGCTCGCCGTCCCCCTCCTCAGCCCTTGCTCCCCTCAGGGACCCAGGCGTCCTGCCCACTCCCCTCACCATAACAACCATTCTTCTCGGAGTTGCTTAAGACTTTAATATCATTTCATTAAGTCAGTAAGTTCAGAGAGGGTTGGGGGCACAAAGAGACGGGGGGTGGCCCAAAGAGGGCCAAGGTAGGGGGGAAGAAGGGAAGAGCCCCCCTCTCTGTGGAGATGGCTCTGAGAAATCAAATATTGACAGTGAGAGAACAGAACTTATTAAATCTGGGACAGGGGTGTGTGGGGAGCTGTGGGAATGGCCAGATGCCTGGGTTGTGAGGGCCATGAGGTTCTGGGTGGAGGGAAAAGCCTGTGACAGGGAGGATGCCCAAGTTGAGGGTACAACTGTTCTGCCCCTTTCCTTTGGGATGTGCTCAGCCTTGCTACCCGGGTTGTTTCTCAGCTGTCCCCCAGAACCCCTGGGGACAAGACCCCCATCACAGCTGTGGCTGCCCCCCTTCATGGCCTCCCCTACCTCCACCTATGCTGATGAGCTTCAGTAGCGTTTAATCCGATTGAGCAGTAATTAGCAAAGCGAGATGTTTGATTACCTATTTAGCATAATGTTGGGGGCTGGGATCCCTAGGCACAGCCACAGTTGAGGGGGGAGTTGGAAAAGAAATGGGGTCTATGTAAAGTTCCTTTCCCTGAGGGATTCGTGAACCTGCCCTTGACGCTCCCCACCCCATGCCTCTCCTCAGATTTTCACTCGTGTGGGACTTTTCCTTGGAGGTTCTGACCAATTACTTGTCTCTCTCTGCCGTCTGGTTTAAGGAATCACCCACATGTCCCGTCTTAGCCCTGCAGATCTGTGCAGTTGTTCTTGGGGTGTGGCAGGGTCTCTCTTTCCTTCATTTCCAGCTCTCAGCAACAGGAGTCTGAGCTAGGCCAGAGGCACAAATCAGAGTCCAGAAATCCACCTTAGGTATATTGGTGGCGGCTGCGGGTAGGCAAGGGCAGAGGCTCCCAATTTTAGAAAGATCAAGTAGGTGGGATGGTGAGGTCAGGGTTGAGTTGGGGTGCAGATTAATCCACCTGCCCTTCCGGAGTACCAGGGACTTCCACTCTGGCAGTGCCAGACTGGTATAATGAGACCTGTCAGGTGTGAACACCAACCAGAAAAAGGGGAAACAGAGGTGCCAGCTTCTCTTCTCATTCAGCAAAGAAAATGTCATCAATTTAGCTCCTCATGGAAATGTAATCAGTGGGCTCACTGCTGGCTTTGTCTTAATTAGGCACTATTGATGGAAGCGGGGAGGGCGCCTCCCATCCCCCTGACGCTGCTTGCTCCCTGTATTTCCCAGTCTCCTCAAAGCTTCTCGTGACCACTGGGTAGAGTGCAGCCTTCCAGGCACCGTCCAGTGACCCCGGCCTGCAGCGCCCCCTAGCACCCGCTGAGGTCTGCCCCTCCTCCACACACTCCTTTCGCTTCCCCAGGACGCAGCCTTTGTTTCTAAAGAGAGCAAAGCCCCTCCCCGGCCCGGTCACCTTCCCCAGGGAGTCTCCGCCTCCCAGTCCCCCCCCACCCCATGTTTCTCAAAGCCGATCCTCGGATTCCAAAAATTCCAGTTCCGGTGTTCCCTCTTTTCCCTCGCACCTCACGCCCCGCGATCCTGAACCCCAGTCCGGACTCAGGAGGGGAGCGAGCAGGAGGGCAGGGGTGCTCCAGACCCGGTGCCCCCTCCCGCCCCAGCTGCAGCCACGGCGGCTGTCTGGAAATCCTGGAGCATCTTCTAGATGGCGAACAGCCTCAAAGGCGGGACCCCGGGCGCCATCTGCTGGACCCGTTCGGGCTGGAGCCCACACACCTGGGAACCGCGTCTGGCGTTTGGGTTTCCCTGCCTTTTAACGTCTTACGGAACTGTGGTGCATTGTTTCTAGCCCGAGGCCTTCCAGCTTGGTCCTCACAACGGCGCCCACCCTCTTCCGGCCCGCCAGATTTAGTTGCTTTCCCCTAGGCCCCCAGCCCTCTTGCCCCTTGTCCACGCAGCGGAGACCCGCGCCGGGTGGGGCCGCAGAGCAGGCATTCAGGGCGCCTGCGCAGAGGTGGCCCGCTCCGCAGATCCGACGCTCACCCTACCCGGCCCAGGGTTGCCTTGGCGACGCGTGCAGGCGCGGGGCTCAGAGGGCCACGCGGGGCAACTTCTTAGCTGGTGTGGCCCTTCGGTCGGCCAAGGGAGGAGAGGGTCGGCTTGTGAGGTGTGCGTATCGGGGCAGAGGGAAGGAGGGAAGGAATCTGGGGAGAAGGGGCGGTAGTGAGAGGCTAGGGATAGGCAGCTGAGAGGGCGAGAAGAGGCCGCTGTGCAAGGGGTAGTAGTGGGGGGAGGGGAAAAGGGGCAGTTGTAGGGGGAGGGGAGAACAGGGAGCAGTTGTGGCAGAAGAGAAAGGGCAGTTGGGCGCAGAGGAAGGAGCAGTTGTGGCTAGAGGGAAAGGCACAGGCGTAGGGAACAGAAAGAAGAGGCAGTTGGGGAGCATGAAGAAGAGGGGCCTGTTGTGACAGTGATGTGGGGAAGTGACTGAGAGGAAATTTGCCTACTGGTAATCAGTTTTAGGAGAGGCTCCCGCGGTATTCCCAGTAACAGAATAAGTACCAGGCTAGCAAGACTGAGCCTGCTGGGGCCTGCAGTGTGGGATCATGGGGCGAGCCCCTGGGTGAACACTCCGGAGGCTTCAGTGTGAGGTAAAACGCAGCTTGATGTTTCCCTGGAGGCTGATAGAGGAAGCCGCGTTGCCCTAGTTGGTTTTATTGATTTGTTAGCCTAACAGAACGTTTTCCTTGGAGCAAAGTACAAATCCTTCAAGTTTGAAATTCATAACCTATGATCACTGCCTGTGGCAGCCTGTGGAGATGAGGAAGGAAAGCCACAGGTGGCCGTCAGGCTATAGCTGAATGAAGAGGGAATGCCCAGCAAGTCCAAGTGGCCATTGGGATTCTGAACAGTTGCCAGAGGTGCCCACTTCCTGCCATCCCACTTTTCTAAGAGGCACCACCGGCCTTCCTCATGCCCTCATCTCCTTTTCCCCATTACACAATGTGAAATTCTTTATTGAATGACTCTTGTCTTTCCTGTTTCTGTCTGCTCTGACGGCATTTAGAATCAAATGATTTTGTTTTTCCTTATCAGTTAGTACAAATTCAACCACCTGTACTAAGAAACCTTCTCAGTACACACAAAACAGGGTTCTTGCCTCTCAGCAATTAAAAGCTAGAGACATGCGTGGCAAATACCGTTCTTTGTTTAAGACTGTTGCAGATTTCAGTGTGGGTAGGAGGAGCATTTTCCCACTTCACTGGAAGGAAAGAAGATACATGGGAGAAGCATCATGGTTTGCTTCAATATCTTGACAAAGGGTGGGGAACATGGGTTCAGTTTTCCCTTTGTGAGCCTTCTCTCATTCACACAGGGCTTAGTAGGGCAGAGTGATTTGAGCAGCCACACGTCAGCTTGGTAGAACTTTTCCCGATTATCTTACATTCTCCATACTCTTTTGTTGAGATAGGGATTCCTAAACCTTTGTTAATGGAGTATCCTATCTTTAACCTCCACTTAGTCCTAATGCCTGGAGAAGTTTTTATTTTTAACCTAATGTTATGAAGAGAGTGGGGTATCCCACTAAAAGAAGCAAGGACTCTTAAGGCTCTTTTTCTTTTTTTACAGGGCTGGAGCTCAAACTCAGCTCAACTCAAGCTCAAACTCAGGGTCTCCCACATGCAAGGAAGTGTTTGACCACTGAGCCATACTCTCAGCCTCAGAGGCTTCTATTGAGAGTACAGACCCTTTATGGAGAGCAGGTTATAGGTTCCCCAAGAAGAGATGATCATATTGGAGTCTCACTCAATTTGTGAATCCAAAGGGGACAGCAGAGAGAGGTTAGGAAGTGTTAACAGGAGGCTGGGCTGGGGGTGGGGTCTGACTGTGGACTCCCAATATCTCTGTACTTGCAGGTTTTACCTGCACAATGTCAAGCAAAGCTGAGAAAAAGCGGAAAGTGACCGGTCGGGTGGGCTCCCGGCCACCCAGGGAGGTGCGAGCTGCTCAGTCCACCCTGGACCCACAGGCTACTGAGAGCACTGTATCTGCCACTGAGCCTGAGTCTGAGCCTGAGCTGCCCAAGGAGGAGACTGGTGGGTATTTGCTGGAGCAGGGGGTGCTTAGAAATGGAGGGTAGAGGGATTTGAGGGACTAGGGGACAGAATGTTTGTATTTCAGGAGGGTCTTGGGGCCAGGGAGCAGATTCTGTCACTTCTGGGCAAGAAGCAGGGGCTATGTGAACTCCTGCTGTGAAGGCTCAGGGAACCTCAGCTCTGCTGCTGGATCCCTTTTTTGTCTGTCTTCCCCCTGGCCAGCCTCATACTTGTTCTTTCTGTCTTAAAATTTCCCACCACTGCTGCAGGAGTTCACCAGCCAATCCTTTCTCTAGCCTCTTCCTCCTTATTTCAAGTGTTCCTGGTTGCTCCCACCCCACCGCAGAGGGTTTGATCTCTTCCTTTTTCCCATTTTCACCCTGGGTGGCAAAACAAATAATGTTTTTCTCCCATTAAGCCCATCACCATGGAGACTCAGCCTGCTTTGCCACCCTTTGAATCCTAAGCCAGGCTGATGCTTTCTACCATCTGTTGAAGGCTCCTGTATCTCCGCCCTCATTTTGGCAGGGACTTGGTAGACTGCGGAGGTTCAGGTTCAGGGTGACAGGAAAAGAAGTGTAGATGGAGGGAGCAAAGCGTTTAAAGAGGCTGCCTTTTGTGGCTTTGATCCAGGAGCCGGCAGGGTTGGAAGGTTTTGGGTAACTATTGCTATCAGTGGGCTTTCCCTTAGAGCACTGGTCAGTGCGGAGAGGACAGACCTTGCTTTTTATCTGGGACACCTGCACACTGCTAATGGCCAGGAAAGATGGAGAGAAATAGACCCTCACTCCAACCTTTTTTTTTTTTTTTTTTTTTTTTTTTTTTTTAAATACTAGAGACTGAACCCAGGGCTTTTCTTGTGCATGCCAGGCAAGCACTCCACCAATGAACTATATCCAGAGCCAGAATCTCCCTTTAATATTAATGGTTAAGAACTTAAGTGAGGATGTGGGAGAAACAAAGACCCAGGGACATAGGAAGCTGCCCTTGGATCCAGGACTTTGAAATGTGTGGCATTTTTTCAGTTCTCAAGTGGTTGGCTGAAAATAGTTTAAACTGAGATGGGCCCCTAGAAGCTGCATTCCAGGAGGAGCAGAGGGAGGTAGGAAGGAAGGCAGGTAGGTTTGGTTTGGTTCAGTTTGATTTGGAGAATCCGCGGGATCAAAGGGAAGGACCTTCAAAATGAACGCTTTGGCCTCCAGACCCCAAAATCTCTCCCTCCGCCAGCTCTCAGCATCCTTATTGTTTGGTATGGAGCCTTCCAGCTGCCCAGTAGCCTGGGTAGAGGTTCAGAGAGGAGTGGGTCTCCCAGGCAGCCCTGAAACTAAGACTAATCCTTGTAATGGAATTGGGGAGGGGCTGGGGCCTGTCTACTGGGGATACAGGGGGCCTAAAACATTTCTTGGTAAAAGACTGGATTTGAGAATAGCAGCCTTCTTTCTGTCCTTTTTATGGCACTGGAGATGGAACCCAGGGCCTCTTAAACACACACTTTGCCCCAGAGCTGCACCCCTAGCCCTGGCAGCTTTTTGAGATCTGTATCCTATACTTCGTTACGCACCCTTCAGTTTCCACTACAAGAAGAATCCTAGCCTGGTTTGGTGGTGCATGTCTGTAATCCCAGCATTCAGGGGGCTGAGGCAGGAGGATCATCAGGAGTTCAAACCCAGCTTGGGCTATATACAGTGAGTTCAAGGTCAATCTGAACTTGAGACCCTGTTTCAAAAAAAAAAAATCCTAACCAAGGATCACAATCCCTTTCCTGTAATTTTAAAAGCTCTAACAAATGGAGCACCTTCCCCTGCCCCTGCTGCCATCTAAACTTATCTGATGGTAAAACCTAACCTAAACTGACATGAAAGTATTTATGGTCTGTTAAATATATAAATATTCATATGTTCTATTGCAGAAATATTCATTAAAGTTTGATTGTTAAATATTGTTCTAAGACCTGCCCAGGGTGGTGGTAGGGATTACATACCATACATTATTGATTATATTAAGATCCTAAATTCTTTTCTTTCTTTTTATATTTTTGATGCTAGGAATTGAACCCAGAGCCTTGCTCATACTGAACAAGCACTCTGCCACTGAACTACGTCTTGAGTCTTCTACAATTCTAAATTCTGAAACCGGTCCAACACCAGGGGTCTTGGATAAGGGGTTGTAGATCTATATTTCAGGTAGAACAGAAAATGTATAGAAAAAATATAGCAATACCTAAAATCATGAAAACAACCAGTGAATCCCTTGGTTTGGCCTCCGCAGGCCCTCTTGTCTTTCCTCAGAGATCACTACTATCCTGTGTTGGAGTTTATCATCCTCAAGACCGATATTTATATATTAAGTACTGGGGACTGAATCCAGAATCTTCATACGGAGCTATGTCCTCAGCCCTTTAAAATATTTTGAGACAGAGTCTTGCTTAGCCTGAGCTCGAACTTGTGATCCTCCCTCCAGCCTTAGCCTCCCACAGTGCTGGGACTGCAGGCATGTACCACTATGCCTGGCTCTTATTTTACTTTATTTTATTTTTATTATTTTATTTTATGGTACTGGGATTGAGCCCAGGGCCTTATGCATACTACGTGGGTGTGCTACTACTGAATTATACTATGCTATCACTACTTCTCCTGGCCTAGTTGCTGTCTGAAATTTGGAATTCCGGCAGTTTTCTCAGGGAAAGTGGCTCATCCCACTCACCACGAATCTTTTCCTATTTCCTGGAATCTTTCCTTATTCCCTTTTCACCACTTGCTTCTTCAGGTTGTAGCTTCACTCTTTATTTTCAGTCTTCCTTTCTGGAAATCAAGATGTCCTGTTTCCCAGGGGCTTTCAGTTCTATTTCATTTATTCTTTTCTTCTTCTGTCCCTTCCCTTTCATGGGAAACTTACCACTTTCACCCTAATCGCTAGGTAGGGAGGTGGAGAATCACCCTCCTATGTCTGTGGGACTCCAGAACAGGCATAGCAGAATTAAGTGCCCATCAGCCTGGGGGACGGGAGAAAGCCTGATTCCTATGGGCCTCAACTTCTCCATGTGGAAGGAGGATCAGGGAACAATGGAGGCCACAAGCCGAGTCCCTGGAATAACTGTCACCGTTAACTGCCTCAGTACTCCCACCCGTCACCTCACTAAGGCTTTTAAATTAGATTACTGGATATTTATTATCATTTATTACAAAATTCATTTTCATTTGTGATTCATTTATTATAAAATTCACTCTTTTAAGAGTACAGTTCACTGGTTCTTGATATATTCACAGAAGTGTGTAACTATCACTACTATCTAATTTTAGAGCATTTTCATCTTCCCCAAAAGAAAGCCATTTCAAGCACCTTGAAAAATTACTGCTGGATGACTCTTTCTCTTCTTAATTGCATCAGAGCCTTGCCATTTATGTATGTATGTATGTAAATATGTATGTATGTAAGTATGTGTGTATGTATGTATATATTTTTGCCATGATGATGATTGAACTCAGGGCTTTGCATATGCCAGCCAAATGCTTTACCACTGAGCTATACCTCCAGCCTAGAACCTTGTTTTCAGCAGTTTCCCTCGAGCTCTTGGGAGCCACTAATCTACTTTCTGTCTTTGTGGGTTTCTCTAAGCTGGATGTTTCATAGAAAGAGAATCATACCATACTGTGGTCTCATGTGACTCACTTCTCTTCACTTCATATAATGCTTTCAAGGTGCATCCATGCTGTAGCGTGCATCACACCTTTATTCCTCTTTAGGGTGAATAATACTCCACTGTCTGTATATACTGCATTTTGTTTATGCATTGTAGTGTTAATGGACATTTGGGCTGTTTTCTTCTTTTGCTTATTGTGAATAATGCTGCTGTAAATATCGGCCAACTAACACCTTTGGGTCCTGCTTTTTTGTTTTTTTGGTACAGGGTCTTGCTGTGTAGTTCAGGCTGGCCTTAAACTCACTATGGAGCCCAGGCTTGCCTTGAACTCACAGCAGTCATCCTGCCTCAGCCTCCCAAGTGCTGGGATTAAAGGCATACACCACGTTGAGCAGAACCAAGCCCAGCTTTTGTCCTGTTGGGTTCAACCCTACAAGTAGAATTGTTGGATAATATGGTAACTGTGTGTAACTTTTTAAGCAAAGTCTGCCCTTTTGTGTGTTTCTTCTTCCTAGAGCCAGCCTTGGTGGAACCTGAAGTACCGAAGGAGGAACTGGAGGAACTTGAGGTGGACGTGGTAGGCTGGGGTCTTCCCCAAAGTTAATATTTCTTCTCAACAACTAGTGAGTCAAAGGCTCAGCGGGGAAAGGTATACAGGGAATGCTCTGCTGCTGCCTCCTGCTTACTCTCCACCAGTAGCCTGCTCAGCACAAATCCAGTTCATGAGTAAAGGATCAGTTGATCCAAGCCTCCTCCTGCAGAACAGGGCCTTGGCGAGGAACTAACCTCAGCCCTGCTCTCCCTGGTCTCCCCACCTTGGCTCAACCTTGATCCTATGGGTGGACATTTGACAAGTTGAACAAGATGGGCAGATACTGTTTTGTTTTGTTTGGTCTTTTTGAGACAGGGTCTCACTATGCAGTTCAGGCTAGCCTTGAGCTTACTTTGTAGCCCAGGCTGGTCTCAAACTCACAGTGATCCTTCTGCCTCAGCCTCCCAAGTGCTGGGATTACAGGCGTGCGCCATCGTGCTTGGCATGACATTTTTTGAAAAAGAGAGAGAAAAGCAGTAACATCCCTCTAAAAAAAATTGGAGCTGGCCATGGTGATTCATACCTGTCATCCCAACACTGGGAGGCCAGGGTAAAAAGAGCACAAGTTTGAGTCCAACTGAGGAACTTAGTGACTTAGTGAGATCTTATCTCAGAATTTAAAAAACAAGTTAAAAAGGGCTCTAGGGATGTAGCTCAATGTGAAGACCCTGGGTTCCATATCCAGTAATGTGGGGGGAAAAACTGGAAGGAACAGAAAAGTACTACAGAGAAAGAGAAAATAAAACTAAATCATTACTCCCCAGTCACACCTAATGTGAGTATCTTGATATATGTCTCTCCTTTCTGTGCAGACTTGCAAGTTGTCTGTATAATCCTAACTGTGCCATATATTACCATATTTTTTGGAGGGGCATAGGGGTTTAAATTTAGGGCCTTGTGTGTGCTAGGTAAGCTCTCTACCATTGAGCTACATCCCCAGCACTTTTTATTTTTTTTTATCTTGAGACAGGGTCTTGCTAAGTAGCCCAGGCTTGCCTAAAACTTGAAGTACTCTTGCTTCAACTGTCACGCATCTGAGATGATAGGCACATGCCAGGCTAAAACCAACACTTTCAAAGTCGTATTTCCTTAAAATAGATTCCCATACACAGAGTTACCAAGTTAAAAAGTAAACAATGCTTCTAATGTTTTCAATATATACTACCAAATTATTTTAAAAACAGATTATATCTTTTGCCCTCATACTAGCAACAAACCCTTGCCAGTCCAGGGTTATCAGTTTAGCAAGCATTTAAAAAATATAAGTATTTTTAATGAGGGATTTTAAAGATTAAATGATTTCTGTTATTTTTATTTGTATTCTTTGATTTCAAGTAAAACAGAACATTTTTTCAAATTTGTTTTTTTCTTGTCTGACATAACATTGTCTACTTACATCCATTGGTCCATTTATTTATTGGGGTCTTGGTGTTTTTCTCATTGGTTCATCCGTATCTTACATAGGAAAGATTTTAGATCACTGCCTATTGAATTGTCTTGACCTAGAGGCTGTAAGAACAATTCCTCTTCATTTTCCAGGAGCACTGGGAGAAGGACATGGTGACATCCTAAGTTCACTGAGCTATATCTTCATCTCTTCTAGTCTCCTTAATTTATTTAGTAGAGTTCTATGAACTGAACCAGTTACAATTTATTTTCCATTTAATCAATTTGTTCTTTGGTTCTCACCCCCTACTTACTGCTTTGCTGATTGCTTTAGCCTAGTATCTTTTTCTTATTTCAGCATCCTGAAGGGGCTAAAATTGCTTGCACTATATTCCTTTTCCAGATCGTCATCTCCTTGCTCCTAATTGCTTGACCCAGGCTAATATCCTACATGCTCACTTTTACCTTAGGTTGACAGTTGCTTGAGAATACATTTTTACCACCACAGACATAAAGGAACTATCTTGGAAAGATAATAACCTGTGGTTTTCCTCTATGACACATTCTGTTTTCACTCTTACAGGCAGGAGAATCTATTGTCTTATTTCTTCAAAAGCTTGAAACCTATCATTCAGTCATCCTCAGCTTTCTCTTCTGTATCCTAAACCTGTCTGGCTGCTCCTCTCATCTCCCACGTCCTGGCTCCTGGTGTGTGACTGGAGGGGAGGACGACTCACCCTAACAGCTCTGACTGCTCTGCCTGTCTGTGCTCTTCTGCAGAAGCCCCTCTTCCTTTCCCGAGCTGTGCTGACAGGCCTGGCAGACGCTGTATGGACAGAGGAGCATGATGCCGTTCTGAAACGCTTTGCCCAGGAGCCCCTGGAGTCCATCCTCACCATCTTCATTGACCCCTGCTTCGGGCTGAAGCTGGAACTGGGCATGCCTATACAGGTGCGTACGCTGCTCGCCCAGCTACGAGGTGGTCTTCTGGGGAACTGAGGGTCTGTGGAGCCACACTGCTTTATCTTCTGTGCCAAAGGCCCCATTGGGGGTCAAGCACCCTTCCTGGAGGCAGGGTACAAAGAAAGATGAGGCGATATTTTTCTTTTCTTTTTGTTTTGTTTTGTTTTTTTTTGGTTTTTCTCCAGTACCGGGAACCGAACTCACGGCCTTGCACTTGCCAGGCAGGTGCTTTTGCCGCTGAGCTAAGTCCCCAGCCCCTTCTTTTCTTTTTGAGACAAGGTTTTGCAGTGTGGCCCAGGTGGCTCTCAAATTCACAGTATTCCTTCCTCCACCTCCCAAGGGTTGGGATTACAGGCATGAACTTCCATGCCTAGCTTCATTGTTTTGTTTTCTATAATTACATGGTCTAGAGGGGAAGATATGAATATAGATAAATATGTACTATAAATCTCTTAATAATATTAAATATATCAATTAGATTATATAGTTAATCATATCTATTTAGTTTTAATTAAATTATTATGCAGTTATTTAAAATATATATGTGTATTTATTTATTGTGTACTTATTGATATTGGGGTCAAAGCCCAGGACCCCATGCATGCTAACCATGTGTTCCACCACTGACCTACACCCTCATCTCTACAATGTACTTGGATGTATGCACGAAACTTTATAGGAGCTTTTGGAGAGCAACTCTTAGAGCACGTGGAATTTGGGGAAAGTTTGATGATGGAGATGATGTTTGAGCTGAGGATGAAGTTGGGACATAGGATTTCATCAAGATCAGGTGAAGGCTTTTCAGTCAAGAACACTTTATATATAAAGAAAAGAGGAATGGGAAATGATACTGAGAAGGGGTGTAGCAGTCAGCTTGCAAAGGGCCTTGTGCATTATACTAAAGAATTTGGCCTGGATCCCAGACAGAGCTATTGAAGTCTTTTTTGGATTAGATCGATAACTATTTCAACAATGTGGAGGGTACGTTAGAGAAGGGTGGACCTCTGGTAGTAAGACAGTAAAACAAAGATGTATTGTACAATGCGGTAGAATCTTGGGTGGTGGGTACACAGGTCATTATTGTAAAATTCTTTTTAAAATAAAATGTTGGAAAAGAAAGAGGTTCCTGCTTTGCTCCTATTGGCAGTGCATGTATGAAAATTGAAATGATAATAAAGTTTAGCAACAATGACACAGTTTTTAAAGCAATCCATGTTAAACAAAGGCAAAACAGGATATGGGCTTTTCCTGTGTATTGGCAACGATCAGCTACAAGAATGTAATGAGAAAAATAATTTCGTTTGTAAAAGAAACAAAGTTGGGCCGGGGATATAGCTCAGTGGCACAAGAGCTTGCCTGGCAAGCGCAAGGTCCTAGTTCGATTCCTGGTACAAAAACAAAGCAAAACAAAACAAAGAAGTGTCTCTTCATGTCAAAAGAAACAAAGTTACTAAACTACTTATATTCGAATATAAAAATTTAATGTAGAGTCGGATTTATGTGAAAGAGTACAGCTTTGTTGCAAGCTATAAAAGACTTAAGTAAATGGTGAGCCATGTCCTGTGTCAGAATGAGAATCTTTTTTTTTTTTTTTTTTTGGTTTTTCTCCCGTACCGGGAACCGAACTCACGACCTTGCGCTTGCCAGGCAGTCGCTTTGCCGCTGAGCTAAATCCCCAGCCCCGAGAATCTTAATAATATGACTATATTTTGTCTAAAAAAATATATCTATTTTTGGGTTTTTGTTTTGTGATGAGGATTTGCTATGTTGTTGCCCAAACTGACCTTGAACTCTGGCCTCAAGTGACCCTCCCACCTCAACTTGTTACATAGCTGGGACCACAGGCATGTGTCACCATGCTCAGAGAAATTCTTTTGTAGTGTGTGTGTATGGTACTAGGGATTGAACTCAGGGCCTTTGTATTGAGCTACATCGCTAGTCCTTTTTGAAACAGGATCTAGCTAAGTTGTTTCATTGCCCAGCCTGAGCTCAGACTTGCCAGCCTCCTGCTTCAGACTGTCAGAGTGCTGGGATTACAGGCATGCATCACCACACCTGGAAAAAGGTATCATTTTCATGCAGCTTCAATCGTAGTGCCCACATGCTAGTCTTTCAATTCCTTGGGTAAAGGATTTTAAAATATACCTAGAAAAATGCATGAAAACAGCAAAGATAATAAAGAACAAGGAAAATAATGGGGGAGTCTTATGAATATAAAAGTATTTTATTAAACTATAGTAGTGAAGATAGGTTCTATTAGGTTAGGAATATACATTATAAACAACAATACAGAAATGTAGAAAGTATAAAAATAGACATTATCAACAATAGCACAGAAACATAGGAAATATAGAAAATAGAAAGTACAGAAACAGATATGTAAGCACTTTCTATAAAAATGGGATTTTAAAATCTGGGGGAAGGATGGGATTAGTCAATGAATACAACTGGGAAACATATGGCAATGAAGTTCTTCAGTTATAAAGAATCTATTTAGCCTCCTGAAATGCATCCTAGTTTTTTCTTTTTTTTAAGGTGTTGGGGATTGATCCCAGGGCTGCTTGGGTGGGCCCTGTCACTGAGTCACACCCTCAGCCCTCTGAAATTCATTCTAAATAGATTGTAGGCTTACTTGTATTCTCCTGGTTAAAATGGCTATTTGAAGCTTTCTTTAAAAATTTTTATGCTCATTGCCATGTGTGGTGGTTCGTGCTCATAATCTCAGCTACTTAGGAGGCTGAGGCAGGAGGATGGCAAGATTGAGGCCAGCTTGGGCAACTGAGCCACACTGTGTCTCAAAAGAAAATATATAAAAAGGGCTAGAGTGGTAGAATGCCCTTGGGTTCAATCCTTAGTATTTTTTAAAAAAAATTAAAAAATTATCCTCAGGGTTGGTGTAGCTTAGTGGTAAAGCACTTGCCTACCCAGAACAAGGCCTCGGGTTCCATCTGCAGCACACTCCCCCGATTACTCTTAAATATCTGATGAAACAAGCAAAAGGGAATACCAGTAAAAACACAACAAAAATCTACATATAGCCCCTGGAGTAAACAAAGAAAGAAAGATGTATAATTATATCTAGTAAATTTCAAAAATGAATCACCAAAAAAAAAAAAAAAAATGGCGCTTAATGGAGAGTGTAAGCACCATGCCCGTGCCCCGCCCTGCTGCAGGAAGTGTACCTCAGCTGGAGGGAGCATGCTGCTGAAAGCTTATAAAATCTTGGAAGAGAGAAAGAGCCTTGTTGTTTTAGCAAAGATGCAACACTGCCTTAAATAGCCTCACCACCTGCCCATACCCTCATGCAAGTCTCTTAGGCTAGAGAAAAGCGAATAAAATATAAAATACCTAATCCTTTCACTTTAACTTCAAGAGGCAGAATAAACTGGCCTTTCACAGTGGGACATCAGGTCGCCCCTGGTAGGTTACAGCTGAAAGAATGAATTCACAGAGCTGCCCAAGCATGAGCAAAATGAAGAGAAATTGCATGGCAACTGCAAGCATGTTATATCAAGGGCAAAAAATTAAAAAAATAAAAGGAACAAAGCGTGCAAAGCAGGACGACAAAACTGAATGAACAGAAGGAAATTCCTCGCAACAGCATCGTGTTATAATACAACTTAATAAGAACACAAATTCAGTTTTTAAAAAAGCCAAGAGATGAAATGATAAAGGGTGAGAATGGGATGAAAGGTAGAGTGCTGATTTTAGGATATGAATAAAGCAGCATGTTACAAAACTGGTGGATTGGAGACGGCAAAGAATTGAACGGCTCTTGCTGCAAATCCTGTCACTGAGAAGGAGGCGAGGCCCGGGGTAATCACCGGCATGCAGAAGAAAGGGCCAGAGATACTAGCACAATTAGAGAGAAGCTAATAGACCTGAAAGACAGGCATAGCTATCTAGTGGAGTAAAAAGAGCCAAGGAACGGTACAGAATATAAAGATTGTAATACAAAGAATCTCCCTGAAATGCAAAAAGAACTGAATTTGGGATCCAAGGGACAGGCTATACTGCACAAAATCACTCAGTGTTTAGTGTCTTGGTTACAGTACTAAAATTTGAGGGTGCTAATTCTTTGGAGCCATCATCTAGGTGAACTTTTTTTTTTTTTAATGTGTATGTGCTGCCGAAGAGAGCACTTTGTTTTGTTTTTTGAGGCAGGGTCTCACTATGTAGTTCAGGCTGGCCTTGAACTCACAGTGTTTCTCCTGCCTCAGCCCCCAGAGTGCTGGGATTACAGGGGTGCACCACCATGCCTGGCCTATGTGTTATTCTTGCAGAGAAGTAAGCTGAACCTAATAATGAGGAAACAATCAGATAGATCCAAATTAAGAAATATTTTGGAAAATAGTTGGCTTGGATTCTTAGACATATCAAAGCCATGAAGGAATGAAAAGCCTGGGGGATTATTAAAATGAAAGGAATGCTGCGTATGTTGGTGCACACCTGTAATCTCAGCACTCAGGAGGTTGAGGCAGGAGGATCGGCATGAGTTCAAGGCCAGCCTGGGCTACATAGTGAGTTCAAAGCCAGTCTGCCCTACAGAGCAAGAGCCTGCCTCAAAAATAAAAACAAACAAAATTTTAAAAACCTCAAAGAAACAGAAGTGAGCCTTCTTTCTTTGTTTCCCTTTTATTCCCTTCAGGTGACAAGCCTGTTGGTTGCTGTCACTCACACCCAGGGTGGGTCTTCTGTCTTTAGTAAACCCTTCAGCCACACTCAGAACTATGCTGATCCAATTTATTTGGGTGTTTCTTACTCAAATTGACACAATCAGTTAACTATGATGATGCCCCAAAGGCATTATTTCCAGCCAAAATGTTCAAGTAGGCGATAGTTTTTCATCTCCAAAGACCCCTATTTAAGAAAACTAGAAATAAGATAATATCAACTGACAGCTGGTAGTATAGTTGGGTGGGAGAGCACAGTATGCCTCAGGTCCCCCAAGTTCCATCCCTAGAACTGCAAAACAAAACAAAATGAACTAAATGAAACAAACCCTTGAGATTCAGTCAATTAAGAAATGAACCAAGTCCTGGTGTGGTGGCGTACACCTGTAATCCCAGCACTCTGGAGGCTGAGGCAGCAGGATTCTGTGAGTTTGAGGCCAGCTTGGGCTCCATAGTGTATTCAAGTCCAACCTGAACTACATAGTGAGACCCTGTCTCAAAAAAAACAAAAAGAAATAAAGAAAGAAAGAAAATAAAGAACACAGAAACAAAGAATCGATGAACATTCAATTCATTTAAATAAGCGGTACATTAAATAATGTACTAAACCACCATAAGAATTGTAGCTATGTTATAGAATGTGAATGTTATATGTAAACCTGACTAATGTAAAATCATCCCAAAACAAAAATGGAAGATGATAGGAAAATGATAGGGTGCAAAAACTTTTGTTTTTCACAGCAGTGAGCCAATAAAATTTAAAATTGAATGGCAGTGAGAAAACTTAAGCTTTTCATAGTCTTTTTTACTACTTCATTTGTTTATTTATTTTTGGGTTTTTGAGATGGGCTTTCAGTATGTAGTTAAAGCTGGCCTTGAACTCCCTATGTAGCTCAACCTGGCCTCAAACTCACAGCAATCCTCCTGCCTCAGCCTCTTGAGTGCTGGAATTGCAGGTGTGCACCACCATACCTGGCCTTTTCAAGTTCTCTTTATCTAATTAAATTCAAATAGGGGCTGGGGATTTAGCTCAGTGGCACAGTGCCTGCCTGGCAAGTGCAAAGTCGTGAGTTCGATTCCTGGTACCGGAAAAAAACAAAACAAAACAAAATTTAAATAAAACTAAATGTAATACTTGTAACTAAAATAGCATGCTATTTTAAATAAAATTTTAATTAATTTTTCTGTATGTGACAGGGTTGATCAAAAGATATGTGTTTAAATAAAAATTGTTATAGTAAAAGATACATTGCCCATTAATCCCCCTTAGATACTCTCTTTCACTTCAGACACACTTAGCCCATTATTCTTGCTACTGTTTGAAACAGTTCTGGATGTTCCATGCATGAGTGTCTTTACAAAGTGTGGTCAGCATATGGTGACCGCTGCTGCCGACTACCACCCAATGGAAAGGCGGGCATGTAAAAACCTTACAGTGTGTCTTTGTCCACCTTATTCACCTGATCTTCCACTGTGTGACTTCTGGCTTTTCTCCAAAGTCAAAATGACCATGAAAGATAAGTGTTTTAAATTGATTCAGGAGACTGAGGCAGCCACCAATGCGTAACCGGAGATAAAACAAGACTTCCAGAACTGGAACAGGTGTGTTCAAAGCTAGGAGATGGAGTCTGAGGGGCATTAATGGCAACATAATAAATTCTAATGTGGTAAGGTTTTAAAATTTAAACATTTATTGTATTTTTTTAATCACACCTCATGCGTCTATAGGAACATGTCTGAATAATGTTTTTTTTTGTACTGGGAATCAAACTCAGGATCTTGTGCTTGCTGGGCAGGTGCTGTGCTGCTGGGCTGTATCACTGGCTCTGAATAATGTTTTCTCAAGGGTTTTGTCTTTTGTTTTTTTTTTGGTCTTTTTGAGACAGGGTCTCACTATGCAGTTCAGGCTGATGTTGAGCTCACTTTGTAGCCCAGGCTGGCCTCATAGTTGTATGGATCCTCCTGCCTCAGTCTCTTCAGTGCTGGGATTGCAGGCATGTGCCACCACACCTGGCTCAAGTTTTTTAAAAAAATTTTATTTTTTACTTATTTAATTTTTTTGAGACAAGGTCTTGCTTTGTAGTCCAGGCTGGCCTCAAACTCACAGCAGTCCTCCTGCCTCAATGCTGGGATTACAGGCATGCGCCACCATGCCTGGCTTCAATTTTTATTTTTGTATTAGTCCATGTTTGCAGTACATACCGATTACATTCCTTGTGGGGACCTGGTGCATAACACATCTCAGTGCCGTCTTCATCCCTTCCTTTCTTCTGCCCCCTTCCCTCCATCTTTTGGTCCCCTTCCCTGTTACAAAAAAATCTATCGCTCTATTTCTCTAGTGTTAGTGATATGTAATTTCTAGGCAGTGGACTGTAGGTGACTTAAAAAAATCTTTGCACTTGTCCATGTGCTTCCCCACCAACACTCAGATTAAGCCCAGGGCATCCAGACCAACACTAGACAAGTGCTCTGCTATGGAACTTCATCCCCAGACCTTCTGTGTCCTTTCAGTGATTTATAACTCCCATGTATCACCTTAATAAAAACAATAGTTGTTGCCAGGTGTGGTGGTGCATGCCTATAATCCCAGCACTTGGAGGCTGAGGCAGGAGGATTGCCCTGAGTTCCAGGCTAACCTGGGCTACAAAGTGAGTTCAAGGCCAGCCTGAACTGCATAGCGAAACCCTGTGTCAAAAAGAAAAAAAAAAAGTTAAGCTTTTAAAAAAATACACATAAATGACAAGATTTATTTGTGGGTAGTAGGAAGAATAGGTTTTTTTAAAAAGATGGATAATTATCAATTTCTTCTTTGTGATTTATTTCCAGTTTTTAAAAGTAAATAAAAAGGGACTGGGGATTTAGCTCAGTGGCACAGCGCCTGCTTGGCAAGCACAAGGTCGTGAGTTCGATTTCCCGTACCAGGAAAAAAAAAAAAAAATAAGTGGTAAAGAGTCATCATAAAATCATTTAAAAAAGAGATGAATCTGATCAGGAAAATGGCCTTTCTAAGCATGTAGCAGTCAGAACTTTAGACTATTTTAGAGGTAATTCATGAAGTTACATATTTCTGAATGGAGGTGTCTTGGTTACTTTCTCATCCTGAAACACAACACCTGAGACCCACAACTTCAAGGAGGGAAGGTTTATCTCAGCTCACGTTTTGTAGAGGTTTCATAGTTGGCTGGGTCCAGAGCAGACCTGAGCCGGGTTGCTCATGGTAGGGCAGACAGGAAGCAGAGAGGGGAAGGGGGAGGGATAAACCCTTCCAGGCCATGCCTCCGGTGCCCACCTCTTTCTACCGGATCCCATGTCCTAAGAGCAAGTCACTCAGAAGCCCCCATCATCCAGTCACCCTCCAAAGCCCCACTGCGAGCTGCATGGGGCTTTGAGGGACATTTTAGATCTAAACATAACAATGAACAACAACAAAAACTCACCAATGGCAAAATTGAAAGACAAATGAAAGATTGGGGGAAAGTCATATGCAACTGAAATGGGAAATCCTCAACAGTTGTCTTTTATTTCCATACTTTTCCCATGGCTGAAGTGCTTCATCTATCCTATCCTATCCCATCCATCCATTCATCTACCCATCCATCCATCCAACAAACATTTATTGAGCACCTACTATATACTAGGCTCTATGTTAGGTCCTGGAGCCAAGGTAGATAAAATACAGAATCCTGACCCTCAAGACATGATTTCTGCATTGCTTCCTCACATCTTTGCATATGGAGTATTTATGTCTCTGAGAAGAACAGGAAGCATCTCCTCACACTCATTTTGTACATTTAGAAAGGGATCAAGGTAAATGAAGGGGCTGGTGACAAAGAATTCAGCCAGGCTTCAAGTTGAGGAGCCTCAGATTCCTTTGGGCATCGTGACGGGGCCTGCAGAATGATCTACTGTCTGATCTATTGTCTTTCACGCAGACCCAGAACCAGCTGGTCTACTTCATTCGACAAGCACAAGTCCCCATCACCCCAGAGAACTTCGAGGCGACAGTGCAGTTTGGGACAGTCCGGGGCGCCTACATCCCAGCCCTGCTTCGGCTGCTCAGTGGTATCTATGCTCCTCAGATCTTTACAAATACAACTTGGCCGGAGAGCATTAGGAATCATTTTACTTCACATCTGCACAAGTTCTTGGCCTGCCTGACAGGTGAGCAGGAAGGCTGGGGGTGCTGATTTCTCCTTAGTAGAGCTTGTGAGGAAGGCAACAGATTCATCCTGCTTAATACGTGCTTGTTAGTGAGTGGGAAAGGGTACAGAATCTGCCCTTTTTGTGGTGCTAGGGATTGAACCCTGGGCCCCATACATGCTTACCACACAGTCTACCACTGTCAGCCCTGCTGTCTGTATGCACATCAAGCATTTTGTTTTGCAGGGCTGTGGATGGAACCCAGGGCCTTGTGCATGTTAGGCAGGTGCTCTACCAATGAGCTACATTCCCAGCCCTTAAACCAAGATTTGAAAGCAAAGCTCATTGTGTATATCCAATTTCGCTTAAATACACACACACACACACACACACACACACACACACGTTTTGCATATCCTTAGTGTCCTAAATAAAAACTACAACTCTTCTGACTTTAAAGATTAAAGGACAGAGCCAGGCGTGGTGGCGCATGCCTGTAATCCCAGCACTCGGGAGGCTGACGCAGGAGGATTGTTGCAAGTTCGAGACCAGCCTGGGCTACAAAGTGAGTTCAAGTCCAGCCTGAACTACATAGTGAGATCCTGTTTCAAAAAGACCAAAAAAAAGAAAAGGACATCAAGTATTATTGAATAATAAATATCAGTCTCTGGTAAATGAATGACAATAGTTTACAAAAAAAAGAATCTGCCTTCTAATCCATATATACTTTGATGGTATAGAATTGGTGGGGATTGTAAGGGACTTTGTACTGTGATTGGGTGTACAGAGTTTTTATTTATTTATTTTTTGAGACAGGATCTCACTGGGTAGTTCAGGCTGGCCTTGAACCTGCCTCAGTTTTGCAAGTGCTGGGAATTACAGGTGTGCCCCCCATGCCTGGCCAAGTATATAGATCTTTTAATTATTTTATAGCTATTTCTTGTTATACCTCCATGAGGTTTTCCTCTGCATTTTCTCCTCTTTCTTTTTCTTCTTTCTTTCTTTCTTTGTTTCTTTCCTTCCTTCCTTCCTTCCTTCCTTCCTTCCTTCCTTCCTTCCTTCCTTTCTTCCTTCCTTCCTTCTTTCCTTTGTCTCTGTCTCTCTTTCTCTCTCTTTCTTTCTTGCTAGGGGGGACCGAATTCAGGGCTCTTACATACTTAGCAGGTGCTTTGCCACTGAACTATATTCCCAACTCTTTTTTATTTTGTTTTGACACAGGGTCTTGCTAAGTTGCCCAGACTGCCCTTAATTCACAATCTTCCTGCCTTAGCCACCTGAGTAGTAGGAACTACAGACTTTCATCACCGTGCCAGGCTTACTTTTCCATTTGATATCAAGAAAGTATGGGTCCTAGTTTCTTCTGCATGCTGTCCTGAAATGCGTATATAGTCGTGACTCAGTGTCATGGGGGATTAGTTCCAGGACCCTTTGGATACCAAAATTCTAGGATGCTCCAGTCTCTCATATAACAGTGTAATATTTGCATATAACCTACACACATTCTCCTGTATACTTTGAAGTCTCTAACTGTTACACCTAAAACAATGTAAATGCAATGTAAATAGGTATTACATAGTAATGTTTAGGGGCTAATGATAGAAATGTCTGTACATGTTCAGCGAGATGCAGTGTTTAAAAACATATTTTCTGCTTGTGACTGGTTGAATCTGTGGACGCAGAAGCTGTTGATATGAAGGGTGGATGTCTGTCCTGGGCTGCCCACTGCAACCACACGATCGTGGTCATATGATCGATACTGGGGCAGCAAAAACTCACCATTTGAACTCCCATGGTCCTTTCTCAGACACACGCTACAAACTGGAGGGGCACACTGTTCTCTACATCCCTGCCGAGACTGAGAACATGAAGCCCGAGGTGGTAGTAAAGGACAAAGAGCTGGTGCAGCGGCTAGAAAGTGAGTGGCTGCCATTGCCAGCATTTGGCGGGAACTGCGGAGGGGAAGAGGCAGCCCGGATGCTGACCGAGGGGCTGGGTTAGAAGCGCTGTGTGGTGGCAGCAGCAGTGGTGGGGGTGTGGACGGGGGAGGGCACAAAGAAGGAGCACTGTGAAGACAAGCAAGAGTTTTCACACACCCCCACTACAGCCTCCATGATCCACTGGACCCGGCAGATAAAGGAGGTGCTCAGTGCCCAGGAGACTGTGGAGACAGGGGAAAGTTTAGGTCCTTTGGAGGAGATTGAGTTCTGGCGCAACCGCTGCATGGACCTGTCTGGCATCAGCAAGCAGCTGGTGAAGAAGGGAGTGAAGCATATCGAGAACATCTTGCGCCTCGCCAAGTCGTCCTATCTGCTGCCCTTTATGAAACTGGCCCAGCAGATCCAGGTATGTGAGTGGACCAGAACTGGGGGGTCACAGAGGAGATGAGTGGTCTGTACGATTCAGAGATAGAAGAACTCTCCCCTGGGTGAGATTTTCAACTCGGCATTAAGGGAATTGAGCCATAACTAGCCAGAGAAGTCTAAAGCTCTGGTTGGGAACAGGACAGTGAAGGGACTGGGTGCCACCTGTGGGGAGGGGATGGAAGTGACCAGGCAGTTGATCAATAGCTGTAGAATAGCCGCTCTGTACAGAGTTCTGACTTCAACCAGAGAAAACGGAGGAATAGACACCAGTCCTGGTTCCTAGTTTCCCTAGTCTGAAATACTTTTGTAGAAAGTGTTTATTGAGCCAGGCATGGTGATGCACAGCTGTAATCCCAGCACTCTGGGAAGTTAAGGCAGGAGGATCACAAATTCTAGCACAGCCTGGGTAATTTAGTGACTTAGTGAGACCAAAATAAAACATTAAAAAATATGTCTGGGGATGTGGCCTTGTACAAAAGGCTCTGAGTTCAATTTCCAATATGTACTGGAAAAAATAAAGGAAGTAGTCATTGAATAAAAGATGATGTATAGGCACACACGCTGGTCCTGAGAGGGGGAAGAGACCTGAAATAGTGACTCCTGCGTGGGGTTCACTGGAAGGGCTTCCTGGCAGAGGCGCTCAGGATGGTGTTCAAAATGAATTAAAAAGTGCTTGCCATGAATCAGTTCTTTCCAGTGGGGTGAATGTATTCCTGGTTTCTATTTGCTGCCAGGATGGCTCTCAGCAAGCGCAGTCGAACCTGACCTTCCTGTCAATCCTGAAGGAACCTTACCAGGAACTGGCTTTCATGCGCCCTAAGGACATCTCCAGCAAGCTCCCCAAGCTGATCAGCCTCATCCGCATTATCTGGGTCAACTCTCCCTACTACAACACTAGGGAGAGGCTGACCTCCCTCTTCCGAAAGGTGTGTGGACGCAGGGGTGGGCAGGAGAGTGTTAGGATAGTGGAGGTGTTGAGAGGGCTCAGATATTTGGAAGATGGTGGAATCCCCTGGCAGATGATGTGCCGTCAGAAAGCTGGGGAAGACACACTGGAGGCTTCTACCTGCACGGTCGGCTTTAGTGCTGCTCAGAGCGGGGGTCTGGGCTGCACTTCTGTTTCCAGACGCAAGTATCTGAGGCAGGAAAATGGCTTTGAGAAGGGGAGCATGGGAAGGGAGGGAGGAAGGACAGACTCCCAGGCTAGATTGTGCAGAAAGGAAGGCCACCTTTCCCTCATTCCCAAGATGATGTCTGCGGTGGGGGAGGGGTCGCTGAGTCGGCCACGTGTCTGCAGAGTTGGGCCGAGCAGCAGCGAAGGGCCATTTGGGACAAGGAGCGCACGCAGAGCCCAGCGGCGGTGGAACACCGCAGTGAGATGGGTCTCAGGAGACAAGTGAGGGAGCTGAAGCCGAGACCTGTGGCACAGTCAGGGAGAAGCAGAGAAGGGGCTGTGTGGGAATGAGGCTGGTAATTGAAGCTGTTGGGTGCCCTTTTGCAGATGAGCAACGAGATTATCCGCTTATGCTGTCATGCCATCTCCCTGGACCGCATCTTTGAGGGCTACGTCTCTTCTAGCAAGGAGGACCTCCAAGGCTGCATTTCCTGTTGCCACGCCTGGAAAGATCACTATCTGCGGGCTGTGCAGATTCATACTCAGTAGGCTGGGTTTCCACCGCCTCCCCACACGCTGCCCCCGGCCCTTCCTCCAGAGGGGAGGTTCTGACTCCTTTCATGTGAATTTTGTGCAGCCTATGGTTTGTTTTTCTAGACCTAAGAATACCTTCATCCAGCCAGGTTTTCCTTTCCATGAAAGCATACTTAGCTCATACCCTAGGATCTCCCTACTCTCATAATCTCTTTTTCCAGATTCCAGGAAGATTACTTGGCCTTTTCCTCCAACCTTGGCCCACACTATAAAATTCCACGCTGTATAAACCTCTTAGAACCTAGGTGCCATGTCTCTTTTCTGGTTTCTGTCACCTGGAGTGTCTTCCTTTGGGACCCAGGGAAAGCACTTTCAGGGTCTTGTTTTGTGAGTCTCTGGTCTAAGTTTGCATGAGCAGGTTGACACCTAGTGTTCCCAGTTTTTAATTCAGCCTGTCTTTCTCCTAATACAGGTTTTCCAGTCGGGGCTGGGTCCTAGACCAGACCAGCATATTTGCTCAGGTTGATGCTTTTGTGCAGCGCTGCAAGGACCTGATTGAGGTGGGAAGACTGTTCGGGAAGGAGTCCAAAAGCCTACCTCAGACCCTCCAGAACCTCTCTGCAGGAGCCAGGGCAGATGGAGCAGAGGCTGGCTGAAGGGCTAAAGCTAAAACTTAACTGTCTTGGCTCTTCCTCCAGAACTGGGTGCCCTCTCACCACCCTGTCCTTTTCGGCTTTTGCTGTTGTCACTGCCCTAGCGTCTCATGTTTCATTCTGTGCCCCCTGCATCTGGCTGGTCCTCCCTAGTTCTTATACATCTGAAGCTGTATCAAAGATCTCTGGACACACAAGTTCAGAGAGGAAAGCAGGACCTCTCATGCTGGCTTCTTTTTAGGTATGCGACTGTCAGTACCACTTTGCCCGTTGGGAAGATGGCAAGCAAGGTCCCCTTCCTTGCTTCTTTGGTGCCCAGGGGCCACAGATCACACGAAACTTGCTAGAAATTGAGGATATCTTTCATAAAAATTTGCACATTCTGCGAGCTGTCCGCGGGGGCATCCTGGATGTCAAGAACACCTCTTGGCACGAAGACTATAATAAGTGAGCAAATGACAAGCTGCTAGGGCCAGGGAGGGAGAGCTGGGGTGATAAGAATGGGGGGAGTGGTGGAACATGCAGAGGGGAGGTGGGAAGACGATCAGCTCAGTGATGGGAAGGGCAGGAGAGAGCACCAGGGAGGGAAGTGGCTGGGCGGGTTCAGGGTTCCAGATCAGCCTTCGGCACTCCAGTCTTGGCTCTGCCACATGCCGGGTATGTGTCATGAGGCAGACAGTCGGGGCCACTGCTTCCTCATCTGTGATTAAGTTAATGAGAGAGCCTATCTCCTAGCATTGTTGAGAGGGTGAAATAGATTCATGGATGCAAAGCACTTAACTCAGTTCCTGGCTTGCAGCGAGCCCCAGGGCACAGCCACACATAGGGCTCTCTCCCAGGGGATATGTTTGGGCACTGGTGCGGGCACCCACACGTCCATATGCTTCTCTGATGGTGCAGATTCCGCACAGGAGTCAAGGACCTGGAAGTGATGACCCAGAACTTGATCACCTCAGCCTTTGAGTTAGTCCGCGACGTGGAGCATGGGGTGCTGCTACTGGACACCTTCCACAGGCTCGCCACCCGGGAGGTGTGGTCACCTGTCCCGCCTTGTGGTCTCTCTGCTTTCCTTTAGTTCCTCCTGAACCTTCCAAGTCCCATCCACCCACACACGTGCCTTTCCCCACCCTCCGACCCTCCGTGCCCCTTTTCTTCCGTCTGTACCCCGGGCTCCCACATCTCTAAGGATTGCAGGTTCTGCTGGATGGCAGAGCTTTCTTCTGGGACAAGAGACTAGAGAAACCCACTTCCGTGGGGCATGCCATCCACTTCTTTCTCTTCTTTATTAGGCCATCAAGCGAACATATGACAAGAAGGCAGTTGATCTGTACATGCTGTTCAACAGTGAATTGGCCCTTGTGAATCGTGAGCTAAACAAGAAGTGGCCCTACCTGGAGCCCTACATGGCGCAGTATTCGGGACAGGCACACTGGATGAGGATCCTCCGGCGACGCATCGACAGAGTCATGGATGTAGGTGCCTGACTTCTTCCACTCCCCGTCCCCAGTGAGACAGCCGGCTGTGCTGTGGACGGGGAGGGTGGGGACAGGTCCAGAGGGGCTCCCTGCTGAGCCTTCATGACCAGAGACTGTCAGATGAGGCCAGGGGCAGATTCGGTTCAGCGAGGCAGGTGCTGGGTTTGGTTCACAGAGAAGGAACCTCATGGGTGGAGAGGAGGAATAGGACCAGTGTTGGGGAAGTTGGGCCAGCAAAAGAGCAGTACAAGCTGGTGATCTAAGACCTGGGCAGGTCTTGTTGGGCCTGATCTCTCAGCAAGAACAGGCACAAAGAAACAAGGCAAAACCATTTAAAAGTTTTCTAGGGGAATATACAGGTGAAAAGTTATAGAGGAAGTGACCCGTTATTGTCTGATTAGTTCTAGGAGAAGAGAAGGCAGCCTCCAGATATCTGGGCTAAGACAGGCCAGGAAACGCTGCAGCTAGTCTTCAACCTTGTCCCTCTTAAATCCTTCGACTTCAGCGGTTTAGTCATTATTTTTATTAGTGTATATTAATTGCACAGAAGAGCGGGTCTCTGTGTTGGTTATCTGTACGTACCTGTAACATGCTTTGATCATTTCCACCTGCTATAACACTTGGCCCTTTCCTCTCCGCCTTATTCCTTTCCTCTCCTCTAGTAGTCTCCCTCCGACTTTCATGTCTTCTCTTTTTCTTAGATTCTGCTGTGATTTATTTTTTTCTCCTAACATTTTTCCTGTGCTGAATCTCCTTGCTTCTTCTCCCTCCTTTTGGCCCCCTTCCCTGTTGCGCCTTGGTGTTTGCCTTCATTTTTCTGTTTAACCCTGTCTTCCTGCTCTGTTGAGCTGATCAACCTCGCAGCCAGCCTGACATGGGTTGCTGGAGCACGTGCATGTGTGTGTAGGGAGTCTCAGCGCGGTGATTCCACCTGGAGGATGATGAAAAGAGCCCACCCCCGCTCTGTTCTCCCCTCTTAGTGCCTTTCCGGGGCCCATTTCCTGCCCCACATTGGGACTGGAGAGGAGAGTGTGCACACCTACCAGCAGATGCTGCAGGCCATTGATGAAATGGTTCGAAAAACCTTCCAAGAATGGACCTCCACTCTGGACAAAGACTGCATTCGGCGGCTGGACATCCCCTTGTTACGAATCAGCCAGGAGAAGGCGGGCATGCTGGATGTCAACTTCGACAAGTATAGCATGATGCACTCTGGGTCCTTCTTGCTGTCCTCGTGCCAGTCCCCTTCTTCAGCTCTTCCAAGTTTGACTCCCCTCTTTTGGCTTCTCTCTCTATTCGTCTCTCCCTCTCACACTTATACTGCAGTATCTTTGCTATTGCTTTTTCTTTTTTTTTGCTACTGGGAATCAAACTCACAAGCTGGCACTTGCTAGGTAGGAGCTTTGCTGCTGAGCTGTATCTCCACTCCACCCCTTTTGAAGCTGGATATCATTAAGTAGCCCAAGCTGGCTTCAAACTCAAAGTGATCCTCCTGCCTCAGCCTCCCAAGTGCTGGGATTACAGGCATGTGCCATCACGCCTGGTGCTATCGCTTAATTTTAGTTTTACAGTTTGTTTAAAAGAAAACAAAACAATCCACTCACTTATACTACTAAGCCAGTGATGTAGACATTCTGCCACTAGATGGCCGTGATGGCTCAGCTAAGTCATCCAAGCCCTGCGCCATGGTCTGGGCTTTCATGAGAACTGATGGATGGGGCTATAAAATCATGTCCTCTCCTATTTTTGGCTTTTAAATTATGGCATTCTTGTATTACAATTTTTAAAGATATGACTAACCCATTTAATTAATTTATTCAAAAATATGCAGCAAGTGCCTTGTATATATTGGGAACTGAGGAAGGCACAGTGATGTGCAGAATGAAAAAGCCCTGCCCTTGAGGAGGCCAGGAGGAAGGCGCGAGGAAAACTCTGTCTGCAGAGTTTACAGATTTCTCCTAAGCAGAAGGAAAGAACTTCCCACGTGGTTGTTTTGACTCCCTCTTGTGCCCTGGAATGGGCATCGCTTCCTGTGCCCCTAGGCTGGTGTTCAGGCCTTGGCTTTAACCCATTCGGTCTGTTATTTATTGGGCACAAGCGGAGAAGGGGCTGTGCCTTTGCTAGCGCAGGCCTGTGTGTATAAAGATAGGTCCGCGCGTGTCTGTCCTGGAGTTGAAGGTGGTCGGGCCAGGGGAGGTGGCACAGTACAGTTGAGAAAGGAGCAAGAGAGGCAGGATGGGCAAGCAGTGCTCATTGTCAGGTGGTGGTGGTGGGTTGAAGCCACTAGTGAGGAGGACGGGACGTCAGAGCCACACAGAAGAGGAAGGAATTGAGGAGCAGAGCATGCGGAAGGAGAAAGTCAGAGGTTTGGGGTAAGCTGTGGTGGGTGAGGGGTGTCGGAGGCTGTCTTTGGGGAGGTTTGTGGTTTCATAGCCCATGGCCCTGTGGCCAAGTAGAACGTTATGAACATTGCTTCGTAAGTCAATGATAAGATTCTAGGCCAGAGTTAGCGTGTTTATAACATCCGCAGGCACATGATGGTGTTAAATTGCAAGATACATTCTCCCATGGAGCTGGGCACCCTTGAGGGTACAGCACCAGACACCCCTGGACCAGAATGGATGTGAATACACGCAGCACCTGTTGCCTTTCTACCATGAAAGAAAAGATTGTATTCAAATCATAGAGTTTCATTCAACACTGGTAATCAATAATTACATTTTAAGTGTGAGAGAAAACAGAAGTTGAGGCAAGAGGTAAAGAAATGCTATGTAAAGCACTGGCTGGTGGCTACTTCCCTCTAATCTTCAGCGTCAGCCAGTGAGAGCGGATAAAGTACAAACTTCAGTGCCAGGCAGTCTCGCTAGAGCTTGAACTCTAGGGGAGAGCTTTGTCACATCAGCCAAGAGGGCCACCAAATTTCTCTGAGGTTCCTTTTTTTTTTTTAGTTAAAAAATCTTTTCTGAGGTTGTCATTGAGGCAAGACAACATATGCAAAAGTGCTCACAGAGGATAAGCAGTCAATAAACATCGTTATTATTAACACTATTATTATTTGTTTTTTTGAGACACAGTCTTGCTATGTAGCTCGGGCTGGCCTTGCACTCACTATATAGTCCAGGCTGGCTTTGAACTTGCAGCAGTTCTTCTGCCTCAGCCTCTCCAGTGCTGGGATCACAGGTGTGCACCACCATGCCTGGCTAATGAACATTTTTACCTTAAAAATTGCTCAAAAATATGAGGAACACAGGAGTCAGGAATTTAGGAGTCAGATGTGATGGTGTGTACCTCTAATCCCAGCCACTCAGGAGGATGAGGAAGGAGATCAGTTAAGTCCAGGAGTTTGAGATGCAATATAGCCCATCTCAAAAAATAAGTCAAAAAGATAAATTTAGCAGGGTGGTTTTAATACAATTGTATTTATTTATTTCTATTTTTAAATACATTTTTAATTAAAAGAGTTTAACCTTTTAGAAGGGCTAATAAATGCACATGGTAAAAAATTCAAGTTACAGAAAGGAATAGAATTTAAAGTCTCCCTCCACTGCTGTTCCACTTTCTCTTTGAAGAATCAGTGTTCCCAGACCTTCTTGTAACATTTCAGAGATAAGCATACATGCCTGCATAAGCATCCTTTTTTATAGAAATAGCATAATATAAAAATTGTTCTGTGTATTCAAAGTGATTTCAAAATATTTAATTTTTCCATTGCAAAATTAATTATTGATCATTTCAGGAAAGTTGCAAAATGTAGGAAAGTAAAGGAAGAAAAAATCCCCCCGAGATAACCACTTTTTTTTATGGTGGCGTTGGTGGTGGTGCTGGGATTGACTCCAGGATCTCATGCATGTTAGGTAAACTCAAGGCCAGCCTGAACTCTCCACGAAATTACAGTGATCCTCCTGCCTCAGCCTCTTGAGTGCTGCCATCCCACTCAGCTAATTTTTAAAAGTCACTCTTGCCCTTTTCCACATGGTCGTTTTCCTTTAACTTTAGTGGGTATTTTTAAATTACAAAGGTAGCACACGATCACTGTTAAAAACAATTGATACAAAACTATGGAAAGAAAGAAGTGAAAAGCTAGCATGCAGCCCCAGTCCAACCATGATTACTGCATGTCTTAGTAACTTTGTTTGTTGCTGAGACATAATACCTGACACCCACGTGTAAAGGAGGAAAGGTTTATTTTGGCTTTCATTTCCATCACCTCTGTCGTTGTGGTTGGCTGCTCCAGGCAGGAGCAGCATGGGGGAAGGGACTGGCGGAGGAGGGCTGCTGGTGGGAGCCAGAAAGCAGAGGGAGAGAAGGGAGGAGTGGGGAGAGAGATACACTTCGTAGAAGTCATGCCCCAGGGCCCGCCTCCTCCACCCAGAGCCCACCTTGTAACAGAGGGCAGCTCGACCTCCCCGGAGTCCGACTTTAAAAAGCCCTACTGCCAAACACATGAGGCTTTGGGGGGACAACCAGGTATAAACCATAACACTGCATAATAACCAAAAATAGCTACCGCACACAGAATAAGGCATTATGAAAAGTCTTTTTAATTTCTTTTATTAGTGTGTTTGCAGTACATGATGTCTACATTTCTTGTGTGGAATTGGCACATGTACTTAACACATTGTAATTCCTTTTTCATCCCCTTTCCTCCTATTTGAGAAGGATCTGTCTCCCCACTTCCTATTGGCTAACTTTTATTTTGTTCATTATTTATTATTTGAGTTTCTCATATAAGAGAAATCATGTGATACTTAAGCTTGGTGTGTCTGAATTATTTCACTTAACATTATGGTCTCAAGGGGCATCCACTTTCCCATAAATAATTCAAGTTTATCATTCTTTATGGCACAGTAGTATTCTATTGTTGTGTAAATACTACATTTTCTTTATCCATTCATCTGTTGGTGGATATATAGGCTACTTCCAAGATTTAGCTACTATGAATTGTGCTGCTATAAACATGGGTATGCATGGATCGCTGTAATGTGATGTTTTAAACTCTTTTGGGAAGGTACTTAAAAGGGGGATAGCTGATCAAATGGACAGTCTAGTTTTTAAAAGAATCACCATATTGATTTCTGTAGTGGTTGCACTAATTTATAGTCCCACCCACAATGCAGAAGGGCTTCTTTTTTCCCTGCAACATCGCTAGCATTTGTTATTATTTGATTTCTTAACAGTGGCCATTCTTTCTGGGGTAGGATGGAATCTCAGTGTTGTTTTAATTTGTATTTTCCTTAATTTTTTGAGATAGGGTTTCATTACGCAGTTCAGGCTGCCCTTGAACTCACTTTGTAGCCCAGGCTGGTCTCAAAATCCCAACAATCCTCCTGGCTCAGCCTCCTGGGTGCTGGGAATACAGGCGTGTGCCACCACGCCCAGCTTCCCTAATTATTTTTACAACCTCCTTTTTTGTATTAACCTTTCTAAGGTTGGTACATATAGGAGATATTTCCATTCTGTTTGTACAGAACTATTTAGTTTTTCATGGCTTATAGTATTCTGTAGTATGACTCTGCTCTAATTTAACTAACTTGTCCACTACTGAGGGACTTATAAGTTATATAATTTGTAAGAAGTTTGAGTATTCTGTTCTGGAGGAATTTTGCTGGGTTTCTTATACCTTGTTCTTTTCCCTCTCTAGCACTATACTTTCTGGAAAGTTGAGCACAGTGTCAGCCTATTTAGAATAATGGCTGCTGTTATCTCTTATCTGGAGTACTTTTTGCATAATCTTTACAGTAGAGCCTAAACAGACCACTTTGGGCCAAATATTTATGACCTGGGTTTCTGTGAAACCCAAATAATAGCTAGATGCTTCTTTCAAACTGAAGAGGTATTTATTCCTGTCCTTTGGCAATGGTTTTCTAGAAAGATATAAGATACTTTTATTTTGTGGTTTTAAGATAAAACTGCTTCAATCCAGTAAATAATGGAGAAGAAAAGGCTTAATGGTAAGTGAAGGATTTTGAAAAGTTTAGGGTCATTAAATCTATAAAGAAATCCAAGTCAGTTTCAGTTTCTAAAACTTATTAACACTCACCAGGAGCCCAGATAACTTTTATCGGGTTTACTGTTCGTGTTCAAGGTCTGGTTAAGATCTTAAAATAAGCATGCTTTTGAAATGTCCTAATGGGCTTCCGAATTACCTGACTCTCTCCTGTTTCTGGGAGCCTTCCAGTCCCTAATAGTATTTAT